GTTTAGATACAAATATGATCAAAAGCTAAAATGATTATGTGATAAAGTTATAGCCACATCAGCACAACATGTACAGCACAAGAAATTGATATTTCATACAACATTCCCAGTATTCATTACAATATGGTTGAGTGGCAATCTGTTATTCAAGGCAGTGCTAGAGTGCAAAGCAATAAACAGCCATATGCATACTTATAAAGTGAACAAAATAAATACAGTGATATGATCTATTTTCGTAAAAATAAAAAAAGCAACTTGTTTTTGTTAAGTTTTAATTGACATGTTTTTGTATTTACCTGTTAAAAAGCTACTGAGTTGGTTTCTCTATGAAGCAAACAAATAAGTCAATTGTTTTGATTTGCCAATAAATAAATCACATTTTATTTTTGTATATTTTTTCCCAGTTGACAGTTTGAGACATTATATGCATTCACTGTTTTCTCTCCTGCCTTATTATGCAAGAGATGCTATGTATAGTTTGCCGCAGAAAGCTACGAACTATATATATATATATATATATACCGAGGTAATACATGTTTACAGGATTAAAATTTATACTCTTAAAAACCGAGAAGCAATTTTGTTCAAATTTTCATGGAAATAGAAAATTGAGATAAGTGACAACAATCCCATTCTAGGGGGCTAACACAAACCAATATAACATATAAACTGATATACTAACTTTCAAAAAATGAATTTTTGTGAATTCTGTATTCCTAAATCTTATTATTAGAATAGAATTTACACACCAAATCAAATAGTCAAACAGAATAAGGTAAGAATATGATCATGCTTATATTTTTAGATTTATTCCATGGAAAAAAGAAAAATCTGGCTATGGTGTTTTATAGTAATAATTTTTGTATAATGTATCCTTACCTGTAACGTATTAGGACGTATGTACCGGGGGGTATGTATGTATGTATGTATGCATGTGTACACTGAACACTGAATGCAATTTAGTTTTGGTGAGTTTTTATGTATCTTAGCAACATGCAGGGCAGACAATACTTAAATTCATACTACTAAGTGATAATCAAAAATAATCAAACCTAGAACCTCCCTTTTGCTAGGCAACACGCTAACCATGATACCATTACCCAGGTTGATGATAATACTTATTAATGAACAATTTCATGAGAAAACTGAATATTGACTACTGGTTGACAAATCAGAACATATAGCTAACGAATAATTGCGAAGTGAAAATAGATCAATTCAGAGTATTTTGAGAGATTTGATAACAAAATGGAAAGAGCCCCCTAAAGATACTACTAGGGCTCACCGCATACTAGGGGGGGTTGACTTGACAAGCACGTTCATCTTCTGGACAACAACGTCACTAATCTGGCGACGATCTTCATCTTGGTTTTCACCCAGTAAGGTCATGGCACTGTCATTAACCTGTAAAAGATTGTATATTATTAAACAGGGGTGATTAAACAAATGATTGACGAAATATTCTGTTTTTCACTAAGCTACAGATTGTAGAAATGTGAAATTTATTTGAATTTTGGTCACCAGTGTACATCTGACCAATCAGAGCTCATGTTACAGATCATTTTTGAGTTAGATGCCCTCTGGTTGAGAAATCCCATCAGAGAGAAGATGCCTAAACTTTTGATTTGGTAAGACTAAGTTTAAAGCGTGGTGGTCGTCGTGCTGCCCATGTGCGACATTTCTGTAATAAACATTGATTTTCCCACAATCCAATGTGCTCTTCAAATGGAAATCACAAGTATGAGGTTTGACCTGGGCGTGACTTGCCAATCACCTAAAAATTACCTAATTAAAGCTTGGAAAGGTCTCAGTTTGAACTTGTTGATCTGCGCAACAGTCAAAGTCGCCATCTTTGTTTATATGAGACCCATATATATGATACCGCCCTGTAAGGGGATGTATATCAGTTTGGTAGAAGGAAACTTAATCATCAAATTTAAACGTGATTGACCAAGGCAGTATTTTACCAGTATATAGCTTATGAAGTGAACTGGCAAGATAACTAAATGCAACCATAATAAGGCAGTAAAATTAGTACATGCCTCAAAGCTAATATACATGCATTTTAACCTTTACTTAATAACAATAATACAGAGTGAAGCAGAAATTTGGTGTCACCACAAATGCCATCTTGAATTTTCAAGGTGAATGTTCCGGCGAAGCACTCCACTATAACCTTGAAGTATTTCATTAGGAATATGTGTATGTGACAATGCCCTCACAGTTTGGAATCAGTTTACCAACAGCCAATCATATTGCTTCTTTCATCAATGCGCTTGGCCAAGCTATCAACATTGTCGGGGCGGAGCTAAGTCACAAGACGCTTTAAAGACCGCGCACCACTCTGCCATGTATTTCTATGGGCTCTGCGCGAGCTGCTGTGGAATGCTGGTCGAAAAGCCGTTGAAAATAGCTAAAATCGAAAAAACAGCACAAACTTAACTTTAAAGAAATCCTAAACAACGAAATTTAAATATGTTGCATATGCAGGCGTAATCTTGTTACACGGTTCAGGGGGTGTCAACAACCATCCCAAAGTATTTTTTTCTGAGAGTTTTGGGCCTTTGTTTTCACCATGATGGTTGCCAGGCGGTGAAAATGCTCGCACAGTGGAAGCTGTGTTGGCTTGCAGTGGATGTCGAGGCAATACAATATTCGGACAAAAGCCGTTCAGGGTACTTAGTTCCGAGTCTGATGTGTTCGTTTTTAGTCGCACTGGAAATGGTAAATCATTATGTTATTATGCTTTACCAGCCTTGCGACTATTGAGCATGGTAATAGTGTTGTCACCATTGTTGGGTACTATAGAAGAGTAGGTGTTATACCTCAAAGCTCATGGTGTCACTGCAACATATATTGACAGAAACAAAGCTGAAGATGAAGACATCAGAAATGCAAAGCCCCAAGCGCTTTTTGGTAGTCATTGTAACAAAGCTTTCTATTGGTCAGTAAACTTTCTATCGCGCAACCATGTGACATACACAGTTATGAATAGAATTACCGCACGGTGTTGTGGAGGGAGGAATGTTCGAACGGAGCAACACTGTGCAGGCGGACGATGCACAAATGCCTATTCAGAGACAAGTAAATTAATGTATGTGTACATGGACATATATGGCAATGGTCCATTCAAACATCACTGGACCACAAAATACCCTGGACAGTAGTTTTAGAAATGCATAAAATCCAAAGACCTAAAGTACATTATGAATAAGGAATATTATAAGGTTGTACTTAATTTATCACATGTATCATACAGACAAATGTGATGTCATATTTTAGACATTTAACTGACAATAAAAATAAAATACTGCCTTGGTCACACACTATAGGCAATTGGCACACAGACTGTGACATCACTGTCTGACAATCTCCTAAGATGCCAAAATATGGCCTCAATTGCCAAATAGACAAAATATTTTTGGAATGAATGTTTTAACCCCTATCCTGCTACATTGA